CTTGCGCCATAGTCATGCTAATGGAGTGGTTCGTACAAGGCGTCGGCTAGAGCGTTAAAAACTAAAGGACTTCTTCAACCTTCGTGTAGTTGAAGATTTTCTTCTTCTCTTGCTTTTTCTTTTTCTTTTCTCTAGGCCTCCTAGGTTTATGTTAGAGATGCTAGGATAGGTTGTTGTTAGAGAAAGGCTAGGTCCCTGTGCTTGTTCTTCTTGGCCTCGCTCATGAGTGATCCCTTTGAGATCAAGGCCTTTAGTTATGCCCAGAAGCCATGGTGTCATCCTTTATGCGACAAGGCACTGTCTCTCTTTTCGAAGATGAAGGGCATGTTAGCATCGTTTCATGGCATTTGACCACCATCCCGTCCCAGTCGATAGCCGCACAACATTGCCACCGCAATGTAGCGAAGCCGCTGAAACCGATTTTTGGTCTGACACCAAGGCGTTGTTGTACAACACCTCAGTGTTAGATCCGTAGGGCCCAACCAATGTGTTCTCAACGCCATGGCCATAAGTTAACTTTGCTTCTGCTCCAAGGCCTTGGCACCAGTAGTGGCGCTGGGATGTTAGCTTTTTTTTATAGTCCAGTGTCGCGCCTCCTTTTGGAAGAGTTGTGGCATCGTCAAACTTCTTCAAAGTGTGTGGTGTAGGCCTTTGGCACTGAGACATTGTGAGCTCAGCCGACTTTTTGTTTTACAGCTTTTGTTGGATCGCGTAATCGATATATCACCACGTGCAATGTTGCAAATACGGGCATGTGTCAATCAATCAGGTTCGGTTTGATTTGAATGTCTTTTTGGGACTCGGTGACCTTATGAGTCAAGACATGACCCAGAGTTTTGAAGAGAAAGGGGTGTGCTAAGAAACAAAGATCTTCAGCCATTGAATGGTTTGTTCGCGCACATTATTCCTTTTAAAATTTTAGCATTCCTTAGAACTTTGAAAAAGATTGCTGATTTATCCTCAGATTTGGAGATGAATCGATTAGGCCTGTGATTAGACCTGCTAGAGCTAGCAGTTCCTTGGTATTGCAGAGGGATGACAAATTTATGAGTGCTTTAACCTTTTTCAGATTGTCCATGACCACTTCCAGAGTTAGCAAATAGCCTAAAAAAATTTCAGTCCTTACCACATATTTACTTTTGAGTGGATTTAATTTCATATTATATTTCTTGTTTGTTTCAAATATTTCTTTTAATTCTCCTATATGTTGCTAAGGTATTTTATTTTTAATAAGTACATCATCGAAATAGACTTCAAAATTCTTCCCTTTCTGATTCGCAAAGATTACATACATCATTCTTTGATATACGACACCAACGCTTTTAAGCACAAAGGGCATTATATTATAGCAAAAAACTCACTCTCTAGTAATGAATTATTCAACGTCTGTTGGGTACATTTTAATTTGGTGATGCCCGGAGAAAGCGTCAAGAAGATTCATTACTGAGTAGTCGGTCGTTGCATTCCACAAGTGTGTCGATCCTGGGTAGAGAATAGCTATCTTTCAGACAGGCTGTGTTGAGGTTGGTGAAATCCACACATATCCATCACTTGTTTTTTGTCACCTCATTCATCATCCACTCCAAGTACTAGACCTTTTGATATATCTTGCTTCGAACAGCTTCTGCACCTCTTTGATTAGTTTAGCCAACGTGAGGGCCTCCGACCTCAACTACTGCTTGGCAGGCCAAGCCAAGGGATTGACGTTGAGGCAATGAAATACTATGTGGGCAAAGACTACCGACATCTCGACTGACCAGGCACAAACATATCAGTACTCGCGGAGCAATCGAATGAGCTCATCTTTTCTACATCAAAATCAATGCTTAGTAAAAAAAATACTAGTCTTGCACACCACGTCTACGATTTCTTCAATAGCTTCATTAGTCTCTAGGCTACTTCCTTGTTGGGTATCTAGCTCCAATGGTTCCCAATGCACACTACTGATGGCCGCAGGTAGCAAGCGCAAGATTGCTCCAGATCTCCCCTGATGGTGATGATTTCTCTATAGCTAGGAAATTTCACTACCACATGAGAAGTCAAAATGACCGCATTGAAAGTATTGAGTAGCGACATACCAAAGATGGCATTGTAGGTTGTTGGAGAGTCGACCACAATAAACTATGCCATGACATTGAACTACATATCACCTTTCCCTAAGTGATTGGCAGAGTGAGAACACTCAATGCTTCATTCTTCTCTCAAGAGAAGCCATACAAGGGCCCGTATCTGGCCATTAAATGCTCGGATTCAAGATTCATCTTGTCAAAAACTGCTTTGAACAAGTTGTTTACTCAGTTGCCGACTTCAACGAGGATGCTCCCAATTTGTAAGTTGTCGATGCAGGCAGTGAAGACAACCACATCATTGTAAGAGTTACCCCTAATGGGTAAATACTCTTGTAAATGCAATAGGGGGATGATGCGGGCTCGTTGGTTGGGAAGCTACGATCCCGCCTCCACCGAGGATGGCAGGGACAATGTGTGTGGCATGAGCGTATGGTAGCTTGCTATGGTCTCCTTCCATTGATGTCTTTCCTTGTCGTTGAGTGAATGCACTGGACGCAATGAACTCTTTAAGTTTTCTAGCTCTGATGAGTTCTTTGATTGGAGTCTGGAGGTGTCGATACGCCTCCGTGATATGCCCGTGGTATTGGTGATAAGTGCAATACTTCTTCGGGTCACGGGCATATCCTCCAGTCTTCATGGGCACAGGCTTCCAGATGAAGTCTTTATTCTGGATGGCTTCCACCACTTTCGCCATCGAGACCCTCGGCAGGGTCAGCTGGAAAATTTCACAAATTGGAAGTTACCTCTTGGGGTAGCAATCCACCAACAACTCTTGATTTTACTCCCTTCTAGCACTCGAGCATGTAGTATTTTCTGTCGCTCGTGTCCCTTGGTAATGATGAGGGTGGTTGTCTTCATATCTTCGAGTGTCGGTGGTTGCGGAGGGTAGTTTGGCTTCCACTAATCTACGCGGGAATTCCTCTTCAATGAGGGACTCTGCATTTGTTTGGTCCTTTGAGGGACCAAGAGCGAGTTATACCCTTTAGCCGATATGTGGTTGTTTGCAAGTTCCAACAACTCTACCAATGTCTTTGGACACTACAGATCCAATGCATTATTGAATGAACCTTCTCTCGGTCCTTACGAGAGGGTCGTGTGGACAATCATGCATGTAGCATCTCTTTTTGGAAGCGGGATATAAATGTGTGCAGCGAGACTCTGTGTCCCTGTCGTAGTTGCATTAATGCCTGTGAATTCTTTTGGGACTTTTGTGCACTAGCAAACTGAAATATAAACATTCTCTTGAATTCTACGAAAGACGTGGTCACACCCAACAACAAGCTATTGAACCACATGAGGATGGATTGCTTCAGGATCATCAAGAGTCGACACTTGAACGGATTGTTTATTCTCATGAGGCATATCGTCGATTCGAAAGAGATGACATGATCGGTAGAGTGTGACTTTCCTCGGTAGTGCTCTTGGGTTTGGATAGTGCTCTAGGGTTTGGATTTTGAAGCATTCAAGTGACTCAGCTCCAGAGATCTATCGAGAAAAGTTGTTCTCTAGGGAAGTGGGTCGCAGGGCATTCAAGCATCCTTTCCTGTCATAGACTTGGGTTGATGATCCTACGTTGTTAGGATAGCACGTGTTGTTATTCACCATCAAAGCCGACGATGAGGCTCTTTCAGCGTCAACACCAGATCTCCCAAGAGAGCAGGAGCTACTGGCTGGGAAGATGGAGCCATTATCTGGGCAAGTGTTTCTTTGATCATCCCCTTCATCTGCTCTTCGAGTTCTTGAATCTGTTAAGTCTCTGGCGGACTCGATGTTTCTTGTGCTTTCCCAACAATCTTCTTCTTCATATACTGATCATCTTCTTGTTTGTGGCATGATCAACGTTTGTCGAACCTTTGAAGAGCGTTGAACCAATATTTGTCCTTCAATCACACCCAAAGAATAGACCGTAAACTAAAGAGAGAGAGAAAGAGAGTGTTCTTGAGGAATGAGAAGAACAGATGAGAGGAGAGAGAGAGAGAGAGAGATTCGAAAGAAAACGCTTGCATTGAAGGTGTTGTTTACATAACCGATTTTTCTAGCGACCCCTACTACATTTAATTTACTCTATTTATAATAGCAAAAATCTTGATAAAATGATGTTTTTCGGCCTATGTTGCCAATGATTCCAAGACTTGGCCTTTTATGTTAAGAAAATCAACTTTCCAACAAATTGGTCTGATGCTGAGGAGGAGATATTCAACTTCAGATAAAAGCTTTTCAGGCATTTGGCTTCCCGTATTAGACTTTGGTTACCCTTCATTGGATGCCCGCTTTCCGCTAATCTGGTGTTTTGATCATTTGGATTCAACCACCGACTTGGTCATTCGGTCTCAGGTATTCGACCTTGGTCACTCGACCTCAGGCACTCGATCTTGGTCAATAAGGCTCAAACACTAGACCTTGACATACTTCCTTCTTCGGGCCAATTTCTGATGAGTGATGAGCTTTGAGCCATTGGATTCACAATAACATGGACCGTCCAATTAATGATGACTTAAATAGTCACTTTACGACTATACAAAACCCTTGACCAGTTTGCAAGTCAACCTTTTGAATGTTAACACCATGACATACCAAATTCAGAATTACTTTCAAATTTTTATTAATAAATTACAAGTTCCACCCATATTAGTTAACAGTCTCTTCCCTCATCTCTTTTTTTATGAAATGTAGAATTTACTCAACATCGGAGAACTAACTTCCCTAACACTTATTCAATATGTGCACCACATGATAAATTTCTCATGCCAAGACACCGTAGTTCTCCTTATACAAATTTGCTATTAATCATCAGCACAATAAAATAAGAAATGCTGCCACCAATGCCAATTTTAGTTACAATAGAATTGATTTTAGTATGAAATAGGGCATCAGCAAGGAATTTCATCATTCTGTAAGCACCCCAGTAAACATGTCCAACATCTGAATTACCTCATTTTCAGCCATGAGTTTCTTGCTTAGAACATTCCGTGATTGATTGGTAACATTAGAAGCCATTGCACTCCAGAATCCAGTCCTATTTCAAATTCTGAATGATCATTAATAGTTCTCCAATATGTAAAAAAAAAAAAAAGAGTTCTAATAAGCCCTCAAAAAAAAAAATAACAAAATAGCAGCGTGTATGCTTGAGGATGTCATTCATCTAGAAAACAATAAAATACAATAATTGATTAAGTGAATGGTTATCTACATTTTAAGTGGCGATCTCATAACATTCTGATAACATTTAGGTTATTCAATTCGATGTCAATACAAACCAATTAAATGATGCTTCAGTGAGGGATGCCAGTGCAACACCACTAACAATCGGCACAAGAGAAGATATAATCCAGATAGAAGGTAGCTGCATGAATATTTAAACAAAAAATCAGTGCTTAATAGAAAATTGTAGGCAGTACAAGATGCATAGATTGCTCATTCATATTTCAGATATTGAAATGTGTTAATGGCGATTTTCAACATTATCTTTAATATAGTTTGCTAAGAGTTTAATTTGAAACTTACATATAGAAAATGTGTTTTAGAAATTAATGATTTTGATTACACTTATTTTGTGTTAAAAAATGAAATCATTACATTCAAGTAAGTTTTCATATAGTTTAACATCGATGTTGTTTTCTTATAAAATTCTAACAAACCATGGTTTATCAAATTTCGCTGTTTCAAAATGTTTTCTCCATAAGGGAAGCAGCACCATAATAGAGTTAACCAAATTTAATGTCCTCAACAGTATTTGCATAATCAAATATAATAGCAAATAAATTTCACTAGAAATTAAAGTATCATGATCAACATACACAATAAATAAAGAAAGATATTATGAGCAGCGGCATCTTAAAATGCGTGTTTAAATATAAGGAATTCAGAAGCATCTTCAGATTATTTTTCTCTCTTTTGTTTTTAATACTATTGACCTTTTAATAAAAGGGCATTTAGATGCATACCACCCAATTCCTATATATAGTTAACTATATAGAAATTGGGTGGTATGCATCTAAATGTCCTTTTATTAAAAGGTCAATAGTATTAAAAACAAAAGTACCACTATTTTAATTTTAAGAAAATGAGGCGCGAATAAAGCCGCGGGCATGGTGTAGAGGGAACCGTGAGATTCTGCCGCGATGTCCTTTCTAGACCGAACTGGTCACAACCAGATGTAACACCCAAAATTTGAGAAACTTAGTAAAGTTTGGTAATTTTTAAAATATAACCCAAATTTTGCATCTTTGAAATTTAATCGAAGTAATTTTATAAATTCTACACCTCGAATTTATTAATTTAATATACAACACTGTATATGAATTAGAATGAAATGGGAGATATAAAAAATAAAAGATATTGAGTTAATTATCTTAATTAAACTTAATTAAATCCATAATATGTCGAACTTTCACTGTTCACACCCGACTTTCCCGCACTTCCTAGCTCATGCAATGGTGTGATGAGATTGAACAACTAAGAATCAAATAGGATCATGCTAAAATAATGCACTCCCACATTCTTCCCTCTATCTGCTCTCATTTTCGCGAACTAAAGAGCTCCCACGATCGCAACACTGTAGTCGCAAGAACTGGGCGACCTGCCAAGTGACGCAACACATGGCAGAGAGTAACGAGAAGAAATTTAAAGGTACGGAACTCACTTTAGCTATAATTTTTTATTTTTGACTTTTGCCACGAATCGACGTGCTTTTTCATTTTTGATAGTTATAACAAGAGACTTGCAGATATCAAAGGCTAAGAAATTGATTTTTAGCTTTTGGAATGGGCTGTTAGCACAAAATCAACAAAGGTAAAGGGAGTATTAAGGTGATAGGAAGAGGGAAGAAAAATAGATAGTCTCGGAGAAGGGTTGGTTATGCCGAGAAATCCTTTCGGGATAAAAATTCATAAATGAACTATGGTTTATGTTAAATCACGAGATAAGTCAAGACTTTATGAAATCCTAAGATGTTTACGAATTTCAAGTTGTTTACAATAGGCGAAAAATTCAAGAAGAACTTCGGGAAAATCTTTATAGGGATGATCTGTCAATTCAAGTGAAATATTCTGGTGTTATCTTAAGAAGAATAACTCTCTGTAGATTTCCAAGTAACCCTATGTTTGAATATGTTTAATTTAGAATTTCTCGCATATTGTAAATGAATACTTGCATTGACTGTATGAATACAAATTGATTGCCCATTACGATGTATGTGATGTTACTATGCTATGAATCTAATGAATATACTTATGAAATCATTGATTGCATGTATTTATTTACTATAGTTCATGCATATGATATATGAAATGTCTGATTAATACTTGTTATAAGAATTATGTTTTAAGAAATATCACAAGTGATCTTATAGGTAGATTATAATATTAATACTTGCAAGTACGGATGATAGGGATATACGTGATTCCCGACTCCCAATATTCAGACAGTGACAAAACTCAAGGATCCGTTGAGAACATATGGTGGCCGCTATTGATAGTTGCTATGTTGGGGGGCACAACCTTTATCAATAGCTAATGTAACATTTGGACTGGGTGATGCCCAATGACATACCATGACAGATGATGGTTGAGGCATATATAATTACATGTGACATTCCTATAATTAAATTTATGGCCCTTATGAATATGCTTCTGATTATTCACGAATGAATGAAATACATGTTTTATACAAGCCATGATTTTCTACACTATATACACCTTTTTTCATATTTTATACATTTATAGCATATTGTGTCATGTGTTGTAGACATGTACATGGATTATATACGGGCATATACGTTTCTTTTTCATCTACAAAATCTTATTTTAGTCTTGATTATTTTGTCGAGTTCGTTGTTGTTCACTAAATGTTGTTGACTTACAAAAAGGTGTAAGATGCATCGGGGTTAGGGAGAGTAGTCAAGTGTGAATTGTATGGCTTTTATATTATAATTTTGGGAGCTTGTACAAACTTTTGGCCACGTACCTTTATTACGTTGGATTTATCAGCTATGTATGTATATCTATATTGATGATATGATTTTCATGCTTCCACGTACATATGAATGTGAATTAATTATGAAAAGAAATAAATCAAGTAAATTTGTTGCAATTTATTTAAATTAACTTGTTACCCACTGAGTCTTGATTCTGCAAGTCAAGATGACTGTTAATGAGAATTTAGTCTGACCAATTTATCCTCTATCGTACCTTAGCCGACCCTTAAGGAGGGGTCAGTTAGGGTGTAACACTCGGGAGTGTCGATCAGCTCTCCCATGAGGGATTGATGTCTCATTTCTATAGAGGAATTCAATCCTAATTATTTAAGGCTTATATATGTGATTTTTATTTTTAGGATTTCAGTTTTTTGTCACGACTTCTTGCAGGACAGCCACCGGCATCCGTTTCTCCCTTCGAGGGTTGCATCCAAGGGATTGGGTGGTGCTTCGATTGTCTCTCTTTTGAGGTTATAATTATCTTTCCTATCCCTTCCCACATTTCTATCGTTTTGCTATCACACCTTCCTGCTCGATGTAGCGGTCTCGACAACAGTCTTGTTATTGTTCCTCTTGTAGTTCCTCATTGTCCCAAACTCAGGACAGTCCTTCTTTGATTGACCAACAGTCCCAGGCCTTCACCACCACAACCGCCGTCATTCTCAGTCACCAACATCACCCAAAAATAGCTGTTATTGGTTGTTTTCTACTGTTTCGGGCATTCAACCAGTTGTTTCCCTCATTCCAGCTTGTTGTCATTACTGCAACACATCTTTTTGTTGCTTTCCTGTTGTCTATTCATCAACTGTCGTCCCTTACCGCCCTGTTGTTCCAGCCACCCATAATTCTACGACTCCTCGTCCACAGCCTGGAAACCCTCGTCCTACCCTGTCACCACCTCGCCAAGATCCCTAATCATCACCACAACACCTAGGATCTGACCTAACGTGTTTGTGTGTCGTGTGTGTTATATTGCCTTTCAAATGTTTTTTATCGTAACAGTCTATTTACTTCCAGTAATAATATTTATTTTCCCTATTGTGGCTTAGGTTAACTCTAGTATCATTTGGTACCAAAGCTACTATAACCCTGATTCTATCCTAAGATTTCTAGACCCACCAATACCCAACCCTATCTCCACTTAAAATTTTTCTCTCACCTACATCACCCTTACACGCCTCCTTCCACCTACCTACAACCAAAACCTAGCCATACCGCTAAGGAGATAATCGTCAAAAGCCTAATCGAGGTGAAATGTATGATGTCGTAAATGAGAAATTTACAAAGAGGTGTCCAACAAATTTCTAAGGAGGATATGCAGTGGGAAACCCGCCAACTTTAATAGAGGCTTGCAACCTTCAAGAAGAATCAATCCGGATGGGTCACCCGTAAGCACAACAGTGAATTGCTAGATCAAAAAAATGGAGTAAATCTCGTCCACCATGCGAATTCCAAGGATGAAGAACCTCTACCTCGAAGATGTGATTTGAAATATCTAAGCCATAATTTTGAAGTAAATGTGGATTTGTCATATTTTGACAGTCACATGGATGTAGTCGAGCTCATTAAGTGGCTCCAGACTTTGGAATGTGTCTTTAAGTGTCAAGCTATCCCACTAGACAAAATGGTGAAACTAACAGCCAACAAGTTAAGAAGAGAATTATTTTGGCTACTAAATTTGAAGTATCTATGCCAGTGTGAAGAAAAAGACAAGATCACTACCTGATTCGAGAGAAAATGGGAGATGCAACATCAGTGCCTACCAGCTAACTATAGATAAAATGTTTAGACCCTGACTTCAAAAGTGTCGAGGCCACATCACCGGGCGACCATTACATCTTAAAGATATGATTCAAACCCAAGATCTTAGAATCAGAGGACACTCAGGGGAACTTCCAAGTCAACCCCTTCTTAGAAGAAACTGATTCAAAGTAGAGAAAAGGTGGAGTGAACTGTTATTCTTAAATCTGTCTCAACTAGAAAATGTTTAAAGTGTCATGGATTTGGACATATTGAATTAGATTTCAAAACCAGGAGAACACTCACTTTCATGAATTAGAGAGTAGTTGAAGAAATAGACAATGACATAATAGACATGAAAGAGAGTGAGGATATAGAAGAGGAGTACCAGTTGCCTACCAACTAGGAAGAGACTCCATCCATCTCAATTTAACCCAAGAGAAAGCTTCCAGCTAAGTTGACGATAACTATTTTTGAAGGTAGTGAGGACTATGAAATTATGATGCATTAAGCAACCGTTTTGCAGATGTTGAGAGGAGCATCAACAAGACTGACCATTGATGACCAAAATATTCATGAGTTTTAAAAGTCAATTTCAGGTGTAGGACAACTCAAAATAAAAAAAATTC